CTCACTGCATAGCACCCTTGCTACCATTGTAGGCCGAGTACAAAATTTTATCTTGAGGGCTGCACGCATTCCACTTCCACGCAGGATTTTGGAGGCTTATTGAATGAATGCGGCCTATACACTGACTTGCAGGGCCAGCCACTGTGCAAGTAGGTGTTCTTGTCCTCCCAAACAAATTTGGGCGCGCCTGGTGAGCGCGCTACTCCGCCCCGAAACCGTAGTAGTGCCATAATGGATCCAATTCGAGTGTTCAGTGAGCTATGATCGCTTAACTGCTTCGACGGCACGAGTCTGAGGAAGCATTCTTATCTTTCCACGGCCAAGAAGTCTCGAGCAAAACGCCCCAAAACAGTTCAGTTGTGGAACGTCTATCAGTTTTCTGGGATCTCCATCAAGTCATTGTAACTATCGGAACGATTCTGTCTTGATAATCAATCATTCTTTCTTTTAATCACATTATGATAAGTTGCCCTTGGTCAAACGTCCTTTGTCCTGCTGCTGTCTTTTTTCGCTTTTCCCAGTTCTCGGCTGTTGTTACGTGATATCGTCAAGAGAGTGGAAACTTCGTTTCACCCACACGAACACTTCACCAGTATTTCTCGATTTTCTCCCTTCTGGAGAAGACTTTACGAAAATTGAATCCATTTGTTTGCGTCAGTTTAGTGAAGTGAAACGTCCCACATCGATACGAATTTTGGCAATCCGCCATGAAGGACACCTGTCCTTCCACTGCACTACTTGTCTTGAACAATTTATTAGATTCCTCTTCTGGCAGATCCGAAGCACAGCCATCGTTTCTTCCGTGATTCATTGATGAACTTTTAGGAGTAGATGTTTGTTAGTGAGATCCCTTGGAGGTTTGTTTTCGGCACTAAGTCGTGAGTGTTTACAGTAGTATTTTACTTCAGTTAGTATTGTGTTACATCTGGATCTGCTCTACTTTTTCGAAGCTGTTTGGACATATCGATAAACTGCCTGTTTAACGCAAGCAAGTTCGTGCTCCGATTTCACCACAAGAGTGCGTTTTATATGGCAAGAGACGATCTCCAGGCTGGAACCCTGCACGTCATAGTCCTGAACGAATGCGGCTATGCGTTACACCGCTTCCACTCCCCCCCACCCATTCCCAAACGTCCCCTCTACGCCTCATTCTGAGTGAAAGGCAACCTGGCTGGCTAGCAGATAGCATGTGAGCTCTATAAAAGCTGTAGCACTGAGCAAGGTGAAAGAGGCCATGCGTAGGTACCCCTAACGTACAGACAGCGTATCGTCTGAGGAGCAGGTTCAAGCCCTACCTGGGTTAGAACTTTGCCCATCTCCCCCTTTGCTATATGCAGCCGCACTGTGACCGGCTCTTATTTAGCTAACAGGCGCATATCTTGAAAATGGACCGCTTCCACCCCCCCGCCCCTCTTTGGCCCGGTGTCTCTACATTACAGATTCAATCAGGAATCCCGAATGCGAGAGAAAATGCGCGGCTCCCCTGATAGGTAACGATTGGAAGGCCCGCTGCCCCTTTTCAAACGATTTCGTCTGTTTATGAACCAGTTTTGAGTTGGGTGCTCGCTGAGGGAGATGGTGGATGAGGGTCGTAATTGCGTTTAGGGGAATTTTTTTCTGCTTTCTGGACTTTCTCCTGGGCTTTTGCTGTCTCAACTGCGCTTTATATCTTTCTCCTCCCCTCACTTGACGGGATTTTTCTTGAAGGGTAAAGTGAGGAGTGTTCGGGAAAAGCTGCGAAAAGTTGATAGGAACTTAGGAAAATCGAGGAAATTGTTGAAGAACTTTGAAAAAGTAGTAGAAAGTTTGAAATATTCAGGGAAATTGTGGAGCGGCTCCGAAAAAAATGGAAGTTAGGAATACTCAGCAAGATTTGAGGTAGGATGGAGGGATGGGAAGTGGATCGAGGAAATGTCGAGGGAGAGGGGGCGGTCATATTTTGCCAAAATTTTTCCCATTTCCAGGAAGAGCCCTACTGTCAGTTAGGCCATCATGAGTTTTCTACCGGTAGATCGATTAGTTGCTCCAAAGAAAAAAGCTTTTATTATTGATGTTTTCGTTGTTTGGTTATATCGCTAAGACACATCTACATCATCATGTCAAGAACCGGTCGGTCACAGGACACCATCACCGTGAAACCCTATCGATTTCGCACATTACTTTGTATTACCTTGCAGTTAGTTATCAGTGTGTGTCCTGAATTGTCCGCATCCAGCTGGCGTTCTATGCCTCGCCCTTCGCCTTTTCGAACCTTTCATTGCCTTGTTTCACGCTGTGTGTGACTCAGCTGGACGACCTTTTCGGTTTGAATTTTCATAGTTGCCGCCGTTTAGGCATCGCGTCGGTTCGACTCCTCCTCAGTAACTCAGCCATCAGTTCACATCTCATCCCATGCAACGCTATTCTTCAAAGGTTTTTGGTAACAAGACCAATCTGGTCGTGGAACAGAACGGTAGGTCGACATTCTAGAGTGGTCCTTGAGGCGTTTCTCTGGCTACTGTAGATCATTTCAGAACAAGATGGTAGTGGGTTCTCAGCGGCCAGCCTATCATTAAGAGCCCAGAAGAAAATCGCCAGTAAACTCAGCACAAGGTAACTTTCCTAAAAAACTGTGCAGATAGTACTCACTCAAAAATTAGTTGTCGACAAAATTCTTATGAAGATTGGCTTCCAACACCTTTCCAAATTGTAAACCGCATTGGAAGGTCAATCACAAAAAAATGAAATTTTTATTTGAAACTTGAAATTTTGTCAGTTTTGATAAAAGGGTTTTTACCAGTAATATCCCCATCGGAACGGCTCCCTTGAAAGAGATGGGTTTCTGTTTGAAGAATATGAGTGAAACTAAGAAAGTTGTATAGTAAATGTATGCTATTGAAAACGGTTTTTTACGTTTTTGAGGTAAATGTCTGGTACAGTGTTGTGCCGCCAAACAGTTAACGAGATCTTGAAACTTTCAAGAGAAAGGTAGAAGCGATTCATTTGGTTTTTGACTAAGGTGTTTAAGCGAAAATCCAAGTTTTTTATCAGGTCGTTCAGTATGAAATGTCCGTTTTTCAGAAGTGCATAGTTCGAGAGTCCGTATCTAAGGCAAAACGCTCCGGCAGTCCTTGGTACTGAGTTTTGGTAAAGGTGCAGCCTCCCTCTTTCTTACCTTCGGTGGACCTCCGGCTGCCGTGGAATCTGACTTTTTTAGAAAGGTTTTTGTAACGACATGGACAAGTCCAAATTGCGTGTTGTCTTGGAGTACGAGTTCCGCCGTGGAAGCACCGCAGCACAGGCAGTTCGGAATATCACCGTCGTCTTTGGAGAGGATGCCCCTAACGAACGAACAGTACGTCGATGGTTTGCAAAGTTTGAATCCGGCGACTTCGATCTTCAAAATGAGTCGAGAGGACGGCCCGAGTGCAAGCTGAACAACGATGAGCTTAAAGCCGTAGTGGAAGCTGATCCCACTCAAAGTACTCGAGAATTAGCGGCAAAGTTTGGAGTATGTAAGGTGACGATCTCGTCTCATTTGAAGCAAATTGGCAAGAGTAGGAAGCTGGACCGTTGGGTACCGCACGACTTGAGCGATCGTCAGAAAGAGGGTCGGCGCCCTTGAGGAGCTTGCCTTTCCTTACTTTCTAGGCAAAAAGCGAGCCTTTCTTACACCGTCTCGTCACATGTGACGAGAAGTGGATCCATTTCGATAACAGGAAGCGGTCTTACCAGTGGTTGGACAAGTCGGAACCGCCAAAACCTACGCCGAAGCCGGACCCTCACCAGAGGAAGACTATGGTATCAGTTTGGTGGTCCTCCGCAGGAGTGATTCACTACAGCTTTACGAGACCTGGTCAGGCGATCACGGCGGAGGCGTACTGTCAACAGCTGGAGGAAATGATGGAGAAGCTTGCTGTTATGCAGCCGAGAATGATTAACAGAGACCGACCGCTCCTACTGCAGGACAACGCTCGGCCACATGTGGCAAACTCGACCTTGTTAAAATTACAGGATTTGGACTTGGAAACTCTCGTTCATCCTCCTTACTCTCCCGACCTATCACCTACAGATTACCATTTCTTTCAAGCTTTAGATCACTTCTTGCAGGGAAAATTATTCAATTCTTATGATGATGTAGAAAGTGCCTTTCATGATTTTATTGCCTCTCGCTCCCCAGATTTCTATAGAGATGGAATTAATAAGTTACCTTTAAAATGGCAAAGATGTGTTGATAACTTAGGATCATATTTTGATTGATTGTAATTTGCGTTGTATGAGATATGATAAACTGAAGTTGACTCTCAAAAACGGACATTTCATACTGAACGACCTAATATAGCTGCCGGGTTGAAGCGGTTGTAATAAATGTAAGGCTTCGAGAAATGCAAATTCTGTTCATAACGGCGCGGTTCCTGCCCAAAGAAGGGGCCATTTTAAAGGACTCATTGTGCAAGACTGGTGCTGAGTAACTGAAAAAATAAGGGCAGTGTTGTTTGCGGCTATGGAGAGGAGGAGCTTTGAGTAAGTGAGCCACTTCCTGGGTAAAACGGGATTTTACATTACAGTAATTTACAGTAATCCCAGTTTGCACTAGGAACGTCCTTCAAGAAGCCCCTCCTAGGCGAGCAGTATCCGACAGAATCCTACTTCGTACAGGCGTATGTTTCCCTGATAAACTCGAACGAAATGCACATTAAACGTGTTGTAAACTGACTCATTTTTTCATTCTAAAGGGTTGCTACTGATACAGTTTCTGGAAGCTGCAAAAATTTTGAAATCGAAAAACAAGAATTCGCAAGAAGCGTTTTTTTCTACGAAATAATTTTCCAAGTGCCAAAGTTATTCGAGGAAAAACCTCAAAATTCCCATTAGTCTTGGATATATAATGGCTTTCAGGAAAGTGACCAAGCTGTTCATTAGCGAATCAGTCGACCGAGTATTCGATAATTTATACAATGCGCTACGATGTTACTTCTCGAAAAAGGATTCTGAGAAGGTAATCATATATTTTAATCAACTGTTGAAGTCACCGCTGAGGTGATTCTAAATTTGTAACTTTTGGTGAATGCTGCCAGAGGAGGACCGTATTGTTGATGCAAGACAGTTCCTAGCCTATGCAAGCCTAGCAAGGTTGACTCGAAAGTCGGCACATTCGCATTCATATGGGTTACGTGAAGAATGCCTGCGTACGCCTACCTCACTTATAAACGTTTGCCACGACCAGCTTTGCCCCGCACACCCCCTCTACCTATCCCTATGGTGATGCACAGATTTTCACAATTTTGAGCGGCTTTTTCAGAAAGCGCTGAAGTAGCAATCAGCGGTGGTGATAACAGCGGTGGATTATAACAACCTTCCCGTTAGGCAGCGTTCAGATGAAGCGCGTCGACGCGCGACGACGCGCTACAGTTGAAAAAGCGCTCCAATCCTAAAGATGCGAAAGCTGCCGCAGACGGGAAGTGGTTGTTGCAGGTGCTTTGAGAAAGTATAGGATAACAGGAATGCGGGCGCTGCCTTTACAATATCTCATACTCTCCCATTGTTCTATACCCTCCTGAAGCCGATCGATAGCAGACTAGGTGATAGGCGAAGCGTACCCTCCTGCTCCCCACACTCTCTCAATGCACAAGCGGCCGGCTCCGATCGATTCCCGTTTGCTGTGCGGCTGCGCTCGCGTTGATTGGAACGCAGGTGGATAGCGCGTCGATGCGCATCACCGTGAGGTCTAAAGCCTCAAACGTATAAAGTTCCATTTAGAATCGTAGTGGCATTCAAGTGGGTTACGGCCCATACAGAGACTTGCGGAGATGAATCTCATATGCATGCCAGCCCCTTTTCATTCTCTCAGGCCAGCGTGGCGCGCATTGAAAGACTTTGGACGGCTAGGAGGTCAGGTTGGCGTGGGCGGGGGCTGGCACGGAATTTGGCTCCCAGACCATGCGTACGGCGAGCACTTGCGACTACATCGCCTCCGCCGTGTTGCATGAGCCAACTACAATTCACTAAATGAATCCTAGGGACCCACTTGGAAGGGGCAATCACAAATTATCCTCGCTTTCATTCAATAAGTTGTGTAGACCGCTGTACCTTGGAGCCTTCATATTTGTCACGAGTGCTACTGTAGCCGCGGCAAACTTGTTCAGGCACACGAAAAATCGAATTCGGCGATTTCTCATAGATTTTGCAGATACCAGTTATAAATTGCACAAAGTACACATTTTTAGTTTCAGTGACGCACATTCACCGAACTGATACTGATGTCTGAATAGGCATACCTAAGTCAGTTCGGCGACGGGGGGGGGGCATTTTGCACATTATGCCTTCCCGTTGACTTGTTGACCCCTCTAGAGAGCTATTTCGTAAGCTTACAAGAGTAGACAGGTTTCACCATGGTGGCTGGGCGAGCTTGCTCCAGCTTCACAAGAGTTCGCAGGTTCTTTCAGAGTGAGACTTGTGAACCGGAACTAGTGAAGCAGCGAAAGTGCAATATGCCCCATCCCCCATCGCCGAACTGCGCCTACATTGTATTCTAGGAGGTGACGGAGCAGGAGAGGGACACTTTGCAGTCATTTGCGCCGCACCTGCTCTGTTTCTGGGTAACTCTCGAATACGCTCGCCAGAGCGCTCCTCATTTATCACTTACCCTGCGAAGGCAACTTTACTGCGTTTGTGGTGCCACACGCCAGCGCATTTTTCTGTTCTGCAGAGAGCTGTCGGGCCATGTTTCCTATCCACCCTAGCGCTTGTGTAGAAGTTGGGAACAAGGCATGACGGGCGTCTAAGAATAATCGGATTGTTCACTCCACACTCTCCATCCCTCATGGGGAAACGGTGTGCGACAAGGCCCCAAAAAAACTTGGTCGTTCAGCTCCTCCCTTCCATCTCTGCACTTTTCTTGAGCGTCTTGCGAATCTTCTTTTTCTAAAGTTCCACCTGTGTTCACATTGGTGCAAACCCCTATCTAACCAAATATGACCCCTCCATCAGCTACTCATTTACAATCATCTTGTCCCTTGCCTTGCCCTTGCCAAGCAGTAAACAAGAGGAATTCAAAGAATTCAGTATGGAACCGAAACATGCAGGAAGAAATTTAATCTGATCTTTCCACGTTTTTGTGACACCTCAGGTCACACCTATAAATTGCCACTATGACCCGTATGCAGGGCTGTTTGTCGATCGGGGTACGGCATTCTCTTTCATAAATTGCCAACCCATCTAGGTACCCTTTTTCGAGTTGACACTTTTTAGGATGGTGGCTAGACGATCTTGCTCCAGCTTCACAAGCGTTCACAAGTTTTACCAGAGTGAGATTTGTAAACCGGAACCAGGGAAGCAATTATAATACAAAATGCCCCCCCCCCGTCGGTAAACAGCGTCCCGTAATTCAATTACATCCAAGTATGCATAGACCGATGGTCAATTCAATTCCCTCGGAAGGGGCGGCGTAGTTCTCAAGAGGAAAAACCAGGTGTCTTGAGAGGGTATAAGACTCCTCTACCGTACGTGAGTCACGGATATAGAGCAGACGGAGGTTATAGGGGAGAAAACGACGGACGCCTTGCTTCGGGGAAGAAAATTTTGCAAACATACGCAACCGTGCCCTCGAAAGTTTCCCAGTTCCACGACTCCACCCTTCCCCACGTTCCCCATTCCTATCTCCATTTCTTATTTCTCCAACTTCTGCTCACTTGTTTCAACTTTTTTCCAAAGATTATCCACCTTTCGCCTAAACCACGCGCAGGTGAACGGAGGTGCCGAGGAGAGGATATGTAGAGCAGTTTAGACAGGTGAAACCGGAAAAATCGACAACTGAGAACATTTTTTCCCAAGGTAAATACGATACCTCTCCATCCAGCGACCAAATACAGAGACTCTCCACTGGAATCCCATAGTGCGACCCTCGGCTCGGGCGAGAACGTTTGGTGCTGATTTGATAAGAACTACGCAATTGCTCATTGCAACTTCGATCTAGATCGCTGGAACTCTTGCGTATTTTTGTTTTGTTTCTGTGCCCTCTAAAATAATGGCCATACCTATGGAGTGACAAAGGGCTAGTTTATCCAGGGAACCTCGGCGCTGGCAGTACTCCCTTGCAAATGCTCCCTTGGAAAGAGGGAGAAGAGGACCTTCTGGGTACTCTGTAGCGCTTTCTAATCACAACTTTTTTTCTTCTTTTTCAATCGGCCTCAATACGCAAACTGTAACTGCGCTGCAGCACCCTCTAGAGTAGCCGTGCAACGACCTGCATTTCCTATCTATCCTTGATTACTCTCAACTTTTTCCAAGCACACGGGGTCGTTGCACTTTTCTGCAACTTTTGTAATTCACCTACGTGTGTCTTCGAATGAGAGCGTAAGAACGACCGTGTTTTGATTGAGTACGGAATTAATTCGAATGCGGCATTCATGATAAAGGTCACATTGAAGTGATTCACTAAAAAGTATTGACACTGGAGTAATGGATCGGTCTTGGGGTCTTAATAGGGAAATGATAAGAGGTTACAAATGAAATGAACTGAAAGAGTAAAACGTTTAGGAGCCAGATTAATCGAGGAGTATTCCTTGAGATGTGTACCGTATCTGCTCTCCATTCAGAACTGGGAACTGTTCGCCCTGGAGTGGAGGCGAAGGGGGGGGGGACATTCGAAGGTTTTTTTGTGCTGAACTGTCGCTACGCGAGGTAGATGACGATTCTTTTTCTGAGTTCAGGAGAAGGAGCTCCCTGGGTGAGTGGGCCAACCTCTCCAGGTGAAAAGGGGATTTTGCGTTACAGTGATCCCATTTTTACCCGTAGTTTTTCGAAGACAAACTGTGCGCTCACTTCTGTGGATTCTGAGCTTTGCCTTAGAAAACCGGTGCGCAGCTGCAGGTGCCACTTTCCGTACGGTGTGCGGGGCGGGGTTGTAGGGTAGTG